CCCCCCTTGCCCAGGCCCTTCCCGCCCTTGCCGCGACCTGACATCTTCTGGAAGTCTGAGAGCAGAAGAATGCAGCGAGAGCGCGCAGCTCTCTTTTATAGGCAACCTCTGCGGACCGGAGTGAGAACCGGAAGGGCAGCGGCGGGAAGTCCGCCTGGGTTGGAGGAGGGACCTAAACCCGAGCCTCCTTTGTTCTCGGAGCGCTTTACACCCAGGACCCGGGCGATTTCCCCTCGTTCTCGTGTAGCGTGTTCCGTACCCCATCCTCATTAAGCAACGGAACTTTAACACTGCAGAGGATACACTTAAAAGAGCACAGGGAAGAAAATACTCCGTTTACGTCTCTACAAATAGGCATGCATTTGCTAACTATGTGTGTAAGACTGTGCATTTTGTGAGGTTATACGGGGGGAATAATGCTCCAAATGCTAACTTCTTACATGTTGAACAAGATGTGCTAGTAAAACAGAATTTTAAGATCTTGCAGGTGTATTGCTAAATTCTCTTCCAGCAAAGGTGTAGCAGTTTTCAGTTTCAACAGCAGCTCCTACTACATCTTACTCATAATGAAGAGAGCCATTAAGATAATCTTAACTATAGTAATCCAGACTTGGTTTCTTGTATAGAGAATTAACTTTTAAAAAGTTAACCAGCTAGCTAACCAGTAGAACATAGTATTTTCCCCACTGATTCGAGGGAATTAGTTGCTCATATATTGAATATTTCACTTAAAATTATTTCTTGAGTTTTCACTGCTCCTCTGATTAGTCTAATGGCAGTGCTGAAGGTTATATTTGTAACATTGAAAAATAGCATTTCGCTATACATTTATTATGGTAAATACTGTGTTTTCCTAACCTGAAAAATACTGAATCTCTCCATCCATCTAGGTCTTTACGTGTATCTCAGTAGAGGTTGTTTTTTTTCCCCCTAAGTAATATATCATTTGAAAAATTTTTAAAAGCTCTCATTAATTATAAGAGCAATTAATTTGTCATTAGTGAACAAGTAACAATTCTAATGCAGGGGGAAAAAAGTACACTTTGGTCTTTCTACGAAAATCTTTATGAAAATATACTTGGCTGAAAAAATATATATACAACTTTACTATTGCTTAAATTCTGCGAAATTTTAACACTTTTTTCAGCATTAGCATGTAATCCCCTTGCTATCCAATGATTTTATTGCTACCCTTTATATCAATGAATTACTTTTAGCAAATGTTGCATTACAGTATTTCCAAAGTATTCCATTTAAATTTTATAAAAGAAATACACATAATTTTAAAATGTCATTAAGATATTTAAATTTCTTTTCTGCGTTTATGTGGCAATGAAAGAACACCTGCCCAACATTTGAAGAAACAAAACCCATTCAACCAGGGGGGGGTATATTCTATATATTTTATAAAGGGACGGATAGGTTAGTTCAAGGGCAAATGCAAATAGGAAATAAGAGGCTTAATTCTCCCTGAGGGTCCTTCTATTTTCCTTTTTCTGTTTCAGAATTTCTTGCCTTTTTATGGCTAAATAAGTCTTTTGCTGGCCCCTTAATTCAGGGACTTTCCTCAAGGATCTTACTCTCTTTGAAAGGTAATCATCAGGGGAAACAGTCCTCTACTTGCCAGCTTCTTGAGAAGGAAAGGGACCCAAGTTCAGCTGTTACCTGCGTCCACACTGCAAAACCTATCTAATGTAAAGGGATGTACCCACTTAGCTACTAAATCTCACTAAAAAAGTAAGGTTTCTCTGTGCCTTTGCAGTCTCTTTAGGAGATTACCTATGATGAGCATAGTATTCTGGCTTAATGTGTGTTGAATAAAAAGATTGTTTTCTTTTCCTTCCTTTTAAATTTATTTATTTATTCCTTTATTTATTTATTTAACTAGAAAGCGAGAGCCGGAAGATAGGGCCAGGGAGAGAGAGAAAGACAGAGAACAAGAATCCCAAGCAGGTTCCAGGCTGTCAGCGCTGAGAGAGATGTGAGAACCATGAGACGATGACCTGAGTGGAAATCAAGAATGCTTAACCGACTGAGCCCCCAGCGCCCCTCTCCTTTTGCTTTTAATTGTATTTCTCCAACATGAGTTAATTGGAATACATTTTACAGACCCTACTTTGTCTACTTTAAGAATCAGTAAAATTCCCACCAACCTGCAGCCTCCCTCTTTGACTTCATGGATTTTTGCCTGGCAACGCATCCTGTTAAAGTTGGCAGTGGGCAGCGATCTGGAAAGTTGGTCAGGCTCTTTAAAGTTTCTGAAAGTGATAGCGGAAGGTATTTATTTTGCTATAAACCTACAGTGTATTAGTTCATGACAATATAATGCCATTTGGGCCGTTTTCTCATATTCACTGACTTTTATAGATCAAGATAAACTTCATTCAAATCAAGGTATTTTCCCTGTACCTTTCACAGCTGAAGGGTAGCTGAGTGTGCCTCTTTCTCGTAAGGATTATTCTGAACTGATTATTTTTGCGAAACAGCAGATAAGGAGAATGTCTGAAAATAGAAGTTACTTTATTGTGAGAGATATTTACATTTTTAAAGGAAATCTTCATTTGTAAGTACCAGGAAGGAAGACTGGTACCTAACAAGAGAATTTTAATGGAAAAGACACGTACTTTAATGTGCATAACGAACCTCGGCAGCAAACTCAGTTAGTTACACTTGCCAAATACATCCTATGCCTAATGACTCTGTACTGTTTCCTTTAGGCCAAATCTCTCGAGCAGGCTACAGCAATGGTTTCCCAACTTCTAGCCTTACTTCTGAACTTTGTATTCACAATACACTTGTGTGAGTGAACTTCCGGAAAAAACGTAGGTCGGGTTGTGATACTCCCACGTTCGAAGCTTCGAATGGTAATTTCGGATGGTTTATACAACTCAGCTTGGCGTGATCTGACCTCTGCCCGTGACCTCCGCCCGTGACCTCTGACCACTCAGTGAACTCGCTTTCACCCCTTGGCCCCTCTGCTCTTGATCGTCCTTAAACATTCTTGATCTTAGACTTGATCTTTAAATTCCTTATCCTTTTTTGATCTTGCTTAAACATTTCGTGTATGTGACTGCCTTGGGTATTTGCATCATCTTCTTAGAATACTTTCCCAAACGCACCTGTCAGAATGGCTAAAATTAACATGAATTAATTTTTGATAAGCACCAAAGAGGTATAATCTGTCTCAGGGGCCTGTTCATCCTCCAAAGGAAGGTGAGGTAATCGGCATAAACAGACCCCCTGACTTTACCCTTAAGGGAAGGTGCTCTGGCCAGAAACAATCTTTTCTTTTCTTTTGTTTATAACTTTTTTGCCCCACCCTTCTTCCTATAAAAACTCTCCATTTTATACAGTTCCTCAGATGCTGCCCAATTCACGAATCTTCATTTAACGAAGCCAGTTAGATCTTCAGATTTACTTGGTTGAATTTTGCTTTTTAACAGGTTATTGGCACATAATGGGCTATTTAACTTACAACAGTGAGTGTTTTAGGTTTGATGAAATTTGGTACTAAAACAATGTTGCAATCACCTTGAATATATATGTCTTTGTGCACTTGACCAAATATTCGGGACAAATCCATAAAGGTTCATCTTAACCAAATTTTTGACAGAGAATTTGGTCTTCTCATTCCTTACCAGATGAAAACTCAGCAGGTAAGTGGTGCAGTACTGGAGGAAAGTGACAATGTCACCAGCGAGGCCCCAAGACCTGACCTTTACTGCTCACCTGCTCGTACTGACGTTTGTCCCACGTTTTCCTTAAGCTCTTTTTTCCAGTGTGTGTCTTAATTTAGGCAAAAGACCCGAGGGGCATAGTATCCTGTGATGGAGTTAAGATACAATACTGAGAAGTATTGTAAAGAGACAGCTTTAGTTTGCCTTAAAATTTTTAGACACGTTCTCTGTGTATTACTTAGAAATACAATGCAGATTTAAAGTTTTTTTTAATTAAAAAAAAAACCTTTTTGTTGTTATTTTTCAGACAGGGAGAGACAGCGTGAGTGGGAGACGGGCAGAGACAGGGAGACCCAGAATCTGAAGCAGGCTCCAAGCTCTGAGCTGACAGCGCAGGGTCTGACGTGGGACTCAAACTCACAAACTGTGAGATCATGATCATGACCTGAGCCAGAGTCAGATGCTTAACCAACTGAGCCACCCAGGCGCTCCTCAGGTTTTTTATTAATACTGACCTAATTCTGTACTAACAAATACCAACAAAATATTAGCATTAGGTATTGAAAGGTGGCAGAATAGGCCACCCCAGAATATTCCACTCTGGCATAAGGTTTATTTTCAGCTGAAGGCATTTGAGATAAAGCAGAGATCAGAAAAGCTCTTGGTTTTTCCCTTCTATCTCTAAAAACAGGAAGTAGATTTATCAAGATGTCTCTCCTTCCCTTTCTACCAGGAAGGGGAAAGGTTAATTCCAGTGTCACAGCAGGCAGTTAGGTAGGCTCTAAGAGGATGCCTGGAGGCCGGGGCGGAGGAGGCCGTGCCCAGCTGCAGGGTAGGTCAGAGGCCTATCTGGCCACACTCCCCTGAAAGCCCCAGCACACTGGAGGGGCCCAAGATGGCGGCGCCAGGACAGGAAGCCCCCCAGCAAGTGAGGAGGAAAAGGCCCAAAACCCTGCTTCCAAGAAATCCCCGCCCCCAGGTAATCAATATTCCTCCTCCTAGTTAACAACTGTCAATAACTGATAGAAACCTCAACCCTGGTTCACACATGCTCTCTCTCCCTTGAGCTCACTGGCTCTCACATCTCGAGTGTACCTCTCATCCACTGTGTTGTGTCTGCCCTTGAATTCTTTCTCATGAGGCGACCAAGAGCCTTCGGTGACATCTTTGATCTGGGCTTGGTTGAGGTCTTAGGGCTCAGGGTCTTCCCAGTTCACCTGGCCACACCAGTAGACAGTATTCGGCCCTTATCAACGGAGAAGGCAGCAACTTAAATCTGCCTGACGGACTTCATTCTTGTTCTCCTGGTGACCTTCCCATAACTGACTTCCCCTCACCTTTTGTCTTCGGCTCATGGGGGCCAAGGGCAGGCCGCTCCAAGATGCGCCACTGGGCATGAAGATTATTCTGAGCTGAAGGCAGTGAAGACCCCACGGGCTCAGAGAAACTCTTGGTACTAACTACATAGAACAACCTGAATTGGGGGTCTTTCCCAGAATAGGGTTATTGGCGGCGATAAAGTTGATCTGAGTGACCCATCCATATGGCAGGACAAACATGGAATTAGCATGCTCCTATGGCCCTGTGAATGCATTCCTTCCCTTCCTAGTCCCAGACCTCTGCCCCCTTCTTAGTTCAGGATGACATACATGCCTTGTTTGGCCTGGCTGTCTTTGGAATTTCCATGTCTGTGTGGATTCTCCATATGTATGCTGTTAAATTTGATTTTCTCCTATTAACTTTTCTCACGTCAATGGGATTCTTAGTCCAGCTAGAAGGACCCTTGAAGGGGACAGGAATTCTTGCTTCCCGATAAGCGGTAGACGGTACTTAAGCCGTACTTCCGAGGCACCTCTGGAGTTCATCTTCCCCAGTGTTATCTCCTGTGTACACACGAGGTACACGTCACAGAGACGGTAAACCCCAGATGGGAGTCACGTGTGCGAAACCCCACGGCAGCAAACCAAGCCTGAACGCCTAATCCGATCGGTTTCCCACCCTGGGAATGGAACCTTTAGCCACTCAAGGAGCAATTAACCTAGTCTGTGCTGGGGAGATAATCCACCAGTAGGCCCAGCCAATTCCCTTAGGAGGATGACCTTGACTGAAACAATGCACTCTTTGCTAATAATTTCCTTTTTCTGCTGCTTTCCCACCTTGAAAAGCCTTTCGTTTTCTATAGCGCAGCAGAACTCCTTTCTGTTGCTAGATGGGACGCTGCCTGCTCCAGAAATCATTGAAAAAAAGCCAATTTGACCTTTAGTCAGTTGAATTTTTGTTGTTTAACAACGTTAATAAATTTCTGTGTGTTTTTTTCCTTGGGAAAACTGTCTTCTACTGCAGGGGTCTCAGCCAAACATTCAAAAGCACAGAGGATAAATTATTTTTCTTGGCCTATAATTAGAAGACATAGTTAAAGACAGAACAACTGAATAATGAATAAAATCATTTGGGTCACCCAGCTTCTAAAAATCCCATCAAAAGTCAAAAATATTTTACTAGGGGGAGTGTGCATTTGAGTGCCCGTCATTGTTAAATAAGTTGTCAGCATTTATTTTGATTCCAAGAAGTCATAGTTACACTGGGATTCGCAGTAATTATATTTTAAGTACAAGAAATAGAAACAACTGAAGGGTGTGAATATTAATATGAGATATTAATAGACTTCGAGTGTTAAAACGTTGATAAGTGGTGTTTTCCTCGCAACACCAGCCCCTCAAGGCCCCGGAAACCTTGCTTCCAAAATACCCTAAAGACTTACTCTATCCCTGACCCCCTCCCAACCTGAGGATATATAATGAGCTACCCGTCACGACCCCATACAGCTCTTCCTGCCCACGGGTCCTGTCCCTGTGCTTTAAGA